GTAATGGTAAATGATTGATCCAACTATGAAGTTGGGGATGTCAGGTGTTGAGGGATTGTTGGGCGGGAGTTTGGAGGGTTGGGTCCAGGGAATAAGCTTGCTCTTTAAGTGTTAGATATAGTTTTTGACGTAGAGGTAAGTGTTTGATCATGACAAATAATATAAATTCAACTAGTTGGCTCTGTGTGTAGCAAATTAAATATTGCATTAACTTATGCCACTTATAATAAATGTAATATGTTATTATTATATAAATTTGTTATTTATAAATTAATTAATTTATTACAGAGTATAAATTAATTCATGTCATATATGGAACATAAAAAATGCATGCCTGCAAATTTGTGAATTTAAATAGGATATAAAACATAATAATTAGATGGGACGAATTATAGCATATTGATTTGTACGGAACAGCACAAAGTTCTAGAAATTGATTATTCTTTCCACAATATATTTTGAATCATTAACTAATAAAATACAAGTTGAAATTTTTTAAAATTAAAAAAAAATACAAAAGTTGGAGTTTTTACGAATTTTAATTTTTTTAAAAAGGTGAAACGAATAAAATTTTGTGTATTATTACAATTATATCGAAATATTTAAAACTTTGTGTATTGTTACAATTATATGGAAATAGGTGTCTATTTTGACATAGACGATAAACTGGATGGCTAGGATGATGCCACATGGTGCAACCTTGTTGAAACCAAAGAGTATAAATATCTTATTTTTCTTCAAATTACTTTTTTTCTTTTTTCTTTTTTTATATTGCAATTAGAAGTGTTAAAGGTGGGTTAAAACTCATACGTTAGTCATAAACTGCCCTTTTGTAGGTGCGAGTAAAGACCAAGAATTGTTGGCCCATTAAGAATTTGGCTTCGTGTGTTGCAATCTAACTCGTGGACTAATTAATATTTTTTAAAAACTTTTTAAAAAATAGAAAATAACTAACAAAAAGAATAAACATATTAAATCTCCGTATTACTTTCTATTCTCTCATAATTCTTTTTCTGTTTTCACAACAGAACAACATTGTTTCTCAATTGGTCAAAAGAGTCATACATATTCTTAACAAACCTATGTCCATTGTTTGGGCAAAATCTATAAATTTACTAGATTAGACGTTTTAAGCTAAATTACCCATAAGTAATTATTACAACATTAATGATGGCAAAACGACGTCGTTTTAATAAAACGCGCGTCTCCCCTTAAAAAAAAAAATTAGGTTCGATTCCCAGCAACAACATATGAACTAAAATTCCATAATCGATAAACTATAATTCCATAATCGATGAACTATAATTCCATAATCTAATCTATGAACTAAAAATTTCAGAATGAATGAACTAAAATTCCATAATCTATAAACTAAAATTTCAGAATCGATGAACTACAATTCCATAATCGATGAACTATAATTCCATAATCAATAAACTATAATTCCATAATCTATGAACTAAAATTTCAGAATGAATGAACAATATAATGTTGTTGCTGGGAATCGAACCTGATTTTTTTTTTTTAAAGAGGAGACGCGCGTTTTTTAAAAAAATAACGTCGTTTTGGCATCCGTATGCACCATGCATGGTGCATACGGATGCACAGCATAATGATTGATTAATGATGTTATAAAAAAAACAATTTAAAAAAAAATGGTTTGCATAGTATTTTTAAGGGGGCATGATGATTTCCACTAGATACCCCTGTGAAACATGAAATGACTTATCTGCCCCAAAGATTCCTCTTCAATGATAGTTGGCAGCACGTGGTAAAGTCACGAGCAGTAAATCTCTCGAAGGCGGTGAAAACAAGGCATCCATAGAAATATCTGTCAGCAATATATAGAGAGAGAGAGAGAGAGAGAGAGAGAGATTGGTGTGTACTATATAGCATTGATTTCATATATTTTGTTGTCTTTCTTCCCTTCACAGCTGTGTTGGACAGTCGTGCATTTTTTTTTTGCCCCACATGAAAATACGGTATCTTTTTTTTTTTTTTTTTTCAAAAAAAAATGGTATCTAAATTACTTCTTACTCTATTTTTTTTTAAAAAAAATTTAAACTTAAATGATGTCAAATTATCGGACTAATCCTAAGCCCACAAAATCCCGTCTTTAGAGCCACGTGCAATCAGTCCACTGGTCAATCTTAGTTTTCATGTGTCCACAAGAAATCCAAACATGTTTTCAATGGGATTTTAACCCCACATTACTGCCTCTAGTCATAATCTTTAAGTCAGGCGACGAACCAACTATGTTAAACTCGAGAGATCTTACTTCTTATTATGTATTTATATCATAATTGATTTTATGTAAAATCGTCTCACGTATAACATATAACATGTAATACTTTTTAAATATTATAAAAAAATTAATTATAAATAAATTCACTCAAGTTTCGTTAACCGACTCCGAGACATAAAATGGGACGGATGAAATATTTATTGAACAAGATTTTAAATTTAAGCATTAACAAAAACAAATACTCCGTAAATTTTAAAGTGCTTTTAATAAAATATTAACTTGAACTAATCAAAATTTAATGTATTGAATTAAAATATTATTGATGAAAAAAACAATTGAATGATTATTATAATCAAGTGGCCAATCAATAGCCTCCATCTTACAACAACTCTCCCTTGGAGATTCCTATACCAATCACTTTTTCTCTATATTTGCTTTTCTTTTTTATCTTTTCAAACTTTATCATGATTAGACAATTTTATTCAAATAAAAAAATATATTTCTGTTGCACGTTATTGACATTAAGTTTTTTCTATTATTATTTTACTGATCAAAATTGGTTGCAACTTGCTAATGTATTCACAATTGGCTCGTTTTCCTTGTTTATCAATTGAGGTTAAAATAGTGCAATTATTAGAAATATTAGTCATATCATGCGTACTAGTGTACTACATAAGATTTGTATTGTCCCTTTTCATTTCATCAACTAATTATTATTGATTTGAATAAAATCTATCGGTAATATATATATACCTTCACACAAAAAAAAAAAAAAATCGATCTCTTTTACTATGTTACTTTTTACTAAAAATAGAGAGATCAGTGATATTTTGATTATATTAAGTAATAAAAAAAAAAGTAATAGTAGTTATTTTTTCCAATATTAATATATATCCTTATTTCTTTTCTCTTTTGTATCTTTTAACATGTCGACATTAGAGTAAAAGACACCAAAGTCTCCCAATCGGCATGTGGATTGGATCATTAGTAATAATGTTATCTTACCTTTTGATTTGCATGTGGATTGGATCGTTAGTAAAAAGCATATATTATTTATTTTATTTTGTGACAAAATTAAAATACAATTTTTTTTGAATACAATTAAACTTTTTTTTTATATAGATATTATTGTGGAAACCTAATTAACTCAGCATTGGATTACAAGATTCTTGAAGGATCATTAGTTACAGCTCATTTCCATTAAACTAGGAATAAAGATTTTGATGATTTCTTTATTGTTACATAATAAAGACGATGTGGGAGCCATATAATGTATTAATGAGAATAATATATTAAAATTATATATGACATTATGAGAAAAAAAAATTAAAAGATTACTTTTTATGGACCAATTTTTTAAAATTTATTTACTTGAAAATTAATGTTTCAAATTACTCGATTTTGAAAAAAAAAAAAAAAAAAAAAAAAAAAAAGAGCTCTTTCCATTTGATATGTCACCATATATTGTTGATTAATCACATCTCTTAGGTAGACGCTAGACCTATTTGATTGCAACACGTCATCCAAAATAATCACCTTATCAATTATACATAAAATTCTTTATTTAAAAAAAAAAAAAATACTCCCATCACACAGTACAGTGTTAATAAATACGTTTACATAATGCAGACATGAGCTTTAAAGATAATAGATTAAAGTTTTTTTTTTTTTTAACCATAAAAATGAATATTTCAATTTTTAATTTATATTAAAATCGTATTTTTTTAGTATTATTAAAATTGTAATATTAAAATGGTAATTAAAAAATGGAATTATTTGTGTTTTATATTTCATCCTATTAACATAAGGGATTATAGGAAATATATATCATGAAGACATAAATGTGTACCACTTAAAATTACAAAAATGCATTCTATTTGACATGTGACAATGCACTCAAGAATGTGTGGACTTTATTATAGGTAAAACCGTAAAAGTGCACTTCAAAACATGTTTCGTGAGTCCCATAGAATGCATTTTATAATTTTGTGTAATGTAATTTTATGTCCATATGTACATATTTGAGTGTACGTTTTCACTTGATACATCTCCACGATGCATAATTGAGTCTTGACAATTGCAGTGTGGAAGTAACATTTAAATGGTGATTTCTTTATGAGCATTAGACACTAGTCCTCCCACATAAGAATCACTGAATTACCATGATTTAATATCTCTATAAATTTGGTCTGGCCGAGGTGCGGAAACCTTGAGTAAGAGATTCTACCTTTTGTGTGGAAGAATATAATTAAGGTATATTTGGTTAATGAGTTTACACACAAGGAATGAGAATCAAAATCACAGTTATTATTGGTTGACAACTTTTTTAAAACACAATCATTGGATTTGATTACCCATTTAATTAAAAATCACATTCTCTATTTAAAAAACATGTATCATTCCATCCTATTGGTAATATGATTTTTTAAATTTAGATCAATGCTTTTAGATTTTTGTTTCCATAATAGGTTAATATATAATCAAACATTAATATTGATAATTATTCAGATTTCACCATATCACTAAACATGTAAAATTTCCAAAATTCATTACCACGGTACTTAATATTTGATTTTCATTCTGATTTCGATTTCATGTGCGAACCAAACACTCCCTCAGTATTTTCCCTCCGGTTAAATTTTCCTAATTAAAATTACGGTGCGAGGGCGGGGGTGACACTGAAAAACTTTGTTAATTATTATATAGGTCCCTCAAAAATTAAAAATATCGCACTTTTTCCCTTCCCTACCTTTTTCCTTCTATATATCGCACCTTCTTCAACCTCATACACCTCTTCCTACTCTTCTTCTCTTTCCCTTATAGCTTTCAAGCTTTCAACTTATATCCTCATACTGCTTTGCTTCTTTCCCCCTAATTTTCTTCTCTACGATCTCCTTCTCAGATCTCCCATCTCTGAGCTCAGATTTCTTGGTTAAGAAGAAAGATCTGTTAGTTTAATTTGTGTTTTGATCTTCTTGAACAAACGAAATCAATCCTTGATTGATGCTGCGTACTGTGTTTTTGATGTTTGAGATTCATGTCTCCTGTTCTTAGTGAAATCCTCCGTTCCGGTTTTATGATCAGTTCCTCTTTCATACGCAGGACCCATCTTGTTCAATCTTTCTCCGTCGTCTTCCTCTACTGGTTTTATGTTTTCTCAGAAATTGACTACGCTTTGATCTGCATAATCTAGGTTTTAAATTAAGTTAGAACACATAGATTTTCCTTTTCTCGGAACAAATAGCGGTTTTTCTAGTCGGGTCCTGCGTTTCTTCTTCTAGGGTTTTTTTTTAACAGAGATTCAAGATTTCTGCATTTTAACGGTGTAAATACAAGCGGAAAAAATGGCGTGTTCAAGCGGGAACTCGTCCGGGTGGACTCAACTGACGAACTCGGGGTCGGAGGAGGATTTGCAGGTGCTGATGAACGAGCGGAAGCGGAAGCGGATGCAGTCGAACCGGGAGTCGGCGCGGCGGTCGCGGATGAGGAAGCAGCAGCACCTGGACGAGCTGATGGCGCAGGCGGCGGCGCTGAAGAAGGAGAACGCGCAGATCCTGAGCAAGATCAGCTCGACGGCGCGGGATTTCATGAATGTGGAGGCTGAGAATTCCGTTCTGAGGGCTCAGATGATGGAGCTGAGCCAAAGGCTTCAGTCTCTGAATGACATCCTCAGCCGGATGAACTCCTCCTCCTCCTCCCCCGCCGGCACCCATGGCTTCTTCGATGTCTACGACGATATCCCCACCGGAAATCACCAGACTCTCATCAACACCACCAACAGCCCATGGATGTTCATGATGAACCAGCAACCCATCATGGCTTCTGCAGATAATTTCTTCCAGTACTGAAAATTTTAAAAAAGACAAAAGAATTGATTGTCTGATCTGCCAGCTTTAATATTCTCCAGATTTTGGTGTTTCCAGCTTGATCTTAAGGTGTGTGGTGGTGGTGCCTTGCTTGGGTGTTAGGGGCATAACTGGCATTATCTTTATCTTTATATTATTATTGTTATTATCATTGTTATTATATTATAATTATTATTATTAGTATTATGATTAGATTTGGGATCTGTAAGGAATCCATTGGGGAGTGGATGGGGCTAAAGGGGTTTGTAGAATATGATGGAATGAATGGTTGTGGATGTATAATGTATTTTATATTTCTATATATCTATCTTCTAGTTAAATCAATGTCTTGTACTCTTGTGCCATGCCCTTAAATTAATTTCTTCATTTATTTTTATTTTCCAAAAAATTATTGGTGAATTTTCTGCATTCATAAGATGTTTATCACAATATACCTAACAAACAAAAAAACATACTTAGCTTATCAGTTAATTTTGTTTTGTTTGATCAATGATCATAACTATCTGTTTGATTTGGTTAAAAAATTAATATAAATATTTAATTAGGTTATATTTGGCAAAGGTAGCTGAAAGCTATCTTGATAAAATTAATTAGCTTTTTGATAAGCTGATAAATGTAAAAAGACAAAGAGAAACATCTTCATAAAATTTAAATTAATTTATTTACATATTAAACTTTAACATTTTATCTTTAAAAAAAATTAACATTTTGAACTAAAATTATTAGCATAATTATGACCTAACATACCTTAACGAAGTAGTAATATTGTTGCGAACTTCCTTCATCTAATAATAATAACAACAACAACAACAACAACAACAATAATAATAATAATAATAATAATAAGCATGAAGAGAAAATGATTTTAATTGGAAATAATAAAGAATGTAATTTCTTTAAAATAATAAGGACAAAGATGGAAAAAAAGTTAAGAAACTACTAGCTTATTTTGAAAGTTACCTAAAGTAGCGTTTCAAAATAAGTTTTTAGGGAAAATGACACTTTTTTCCCCTGTGTTGTTTACATATAGCATATTTTCCCCCTGTGTTGTTTATGTAACCACTTTATTCCCCTTAATTGTTTTTGAAGTGGCTATTTTCCCCCCTCTCCGTTAAATAAGTGTTAGGGCTGTTAAATATGAGGGTAAAATGGCATTTCAATTATTATTATTATTATTATTATTATGTGTTTAAATCATATTTTGTTTGTTTTTTTTTTAATGATAGTGCTTATTTTCTCTGTCTCATCTTACTTATCTTATTTATATTATAATTTATTAATTAATTTAACTCTTTTTTAGTTACTTCGTTAATTTTTTAAATTGTTAAATTAATTTTTTTTTTGTGTTTAATAATATTTTTAATAAATTAAAAAAAAAGTAAAATTATATGGAGTATTAATTTAAAGAAATGTTAAAATAGTTTATTATATTTTAATAATAATAATAATAATAATAATAATAATAATAATAATAATAATAATAATAATAATAATAATAATAATAATAATAATAATAATAATAAGAAGAAGAAGAAGAAGTGAAATGCTATTTTTACCCTCATATTTAACAGTCCTAACACTTATTTAACGGAGAGGGGGAAAATAGCTACTTCAAAAACAATTGAGGGGGATAAAGTGGTTTCATAAACAACACAGGGGGAAAATATGCTATATGTAAACAACACAGGGGAAAAAAGTGTCATTTTCCCTAAGTTTTTATTTTAAGCTACAAGCCTATTTTGAAAACATTACCAAACAGAGCTTATAACTTATTAGTAGTTTAAAATAAGTTATAAGCTCCTAAATAAGCTCTGCCAAACAGAACCTTAATTAACTTTTTGTAATGATTTATTACTCAAAAATGTTAAAATTCAAAAAATTGTACAAATAAACTTTTTGATAAATTTTGTGAGAAAGTCATTTTATATATAATCAATTAATATCTAATTTATCAAACATCTTTCTACAATCAACTAATCTTATTAACTAATTGAACTTACTAATCCAATAAACTAACATAAAAAATCAAACACCTCAATGTATTATTAATTGAATAATTTTTTAAATGGACTCACGGATAAAAATTTCAATGTCTGTCTATTTTATTGATCACTGAAAAGTGAATACATATTTAGAGTTATTAAAAAAAAAAAAAAAAAAAAAGAAAGTAAACCACCACTAATTGCCGTCGGAAAATTTGATTAATTTATTATTTTGGGAAAAATCTAATTTCTGTCCAACAAAGTGGTCGAAATTTCTTGATAGTTCATAAGTTTTGCTTTTTGAAATAAACAATTTCTCTGTGTTTCTAACAATAATCAATGGTTTTCAATTTTTATTTTTATTTTTGGTAATTATGACTAAATTCTTTTATTTTAAAAAAATATTTCATCTTCTGGTAATTGTTAGAAAATTATAGTTGGTGTCGATGATCTAAACAATTAAATATTTTGATCACTTTGATTATGATTGGTAACATCAAGACGCAATTTTGTGAATTCTAAAAGTGATTGAAAATGGTAAAACTGACACAAATTTGGAAATAGAGCAAGTTAACAAGTGTTTTCTCATGTTTGATTAGAATTATTTATAATTTCATTTTAATGATAATTTTTTTAATATTACTGACTCTATTACAATGATTAGAATTATTTATAATTTTATTTTTAAAATGATATTTTTTTTGAATACTGTTGACTCTATTACAATGTAGTATCTGTTCATAACTACTTTCTTAACAAATGAAATACAAAGAGCTAATATCTCCTTCGTTGAAGTTCAAACCCATAATCTCCCATTATGAGGGAGCAACTTAGTGGCATTGGACCACAATAGTTTTTTTTGAAAGCCAACAAACTTATATTGCATTAGTCATTTAGTCATTCCAGGCTCAAGAAAAGAAAGAGGAAAATCCCTCCAGAGACAACGTGCGAAAGAGGCAGTTACATGCTTAGCCATAACATGGACCACAATAGTTTATTATTAACTAAAAAATTATATTTAAACATTATCTTAAAGTTTTTATTGAGTGAAAAAAGATTAACATATAAAATGAGATTTGGATATTAAATATTTGGCTCTTTTTTTTTTTTTTTTTTTTTCCTATTTTGGAAATGTAAATAAAAGAAAAGCGAGATCTTTGTGACGCAAAACAGTGAAAAGATCGACAAATTTAATTTTCTAACAAATAAGGCATACTAATTTTCCAAATTTGCTTCATAATTTCTTAATTTGTAATTCAAATCCAAATATCTATTGTTGAACTAAAAACTCTTTAATTTACTCTTATAATTGGACTTTTTTTATTAATAGATCTTTTAAAATGTTATATTGAACAAAAAAAACTGGTGGTGGGCATTTATTCTGTAGGTTGAAAAAGATTGAGAAAATATAAAACATATACTACATTGTAAAAAATTATGAGTGTCGCAAAAGATCAAATCCTTTAATTTGCTCTTATAATTGGACTGTACATCATTTGAAATAAAACAACCTAGATTTTAGATAATTGAACGCAGAACTATTATGAAAAATCTCAAACTTATATTACTAGATTCTAAGATTTTTTTTCCCGAATATTCTACACAAATTATGGACCTCAAAATCGATCACTTTCAAAATATCAAAATTTATGAAAAAAAATAAAATAAATCAAAGTCATGGACTAGGGGAGGTGTGATTGGGGTAGGGGAGAGTGGTGGTGGTTGTAATCATCATAATGCAATATGATTACAGAAATTTAAAATTAATTACTGGTACATTTAATATTGTAAAAAAGTTAATTAATGCTTGTCCTTTTCAAGTTTTGCTTCAATGATTTCATCTTAGGTGTATGGAAGCTAATATTGAGGTTAAAGTACAATCCTTAATTTCTTTTTATAAGGAACTACCCCAATTGCAATCATCTTGTTGACATCTCCACCCCCCCCCCCCCCCCCCCCCCCCCAACACACACACACAAAGTAATAAGGATCAAATAGATCATCTAACTACACATAAAATTGCAATTGGGCATCGAATTCAAAAAAATTATAATTATGTTTTTGAACAATGCAAAATAATGCAATTCAACCTAAAATGACATGTTGACCTATTAACATGCTAACGTGGCGATTACCGAATTATAAAATATTTTTTTAAATTTTATTTTAATAAATTTAAATTAAATAATTAAAAAAAAAAAACTTCGCTTGGGTTGCCCTCCCCAATGAGGAGGCAGCCTCAGGTCGCTTTCTCACCCAGAGAAGGCAACCCGCAACTGGGTTTCCTTATCTGGTGAGAAGGCGACCTGAGGCTGCCTTCTCACCGGAGAAGGCAACCCAGTTGCCTTCTCCATTGAGAAGGCGATCTACTGGGTTGCCTTCTCAACAAAGAACGCAACCCAATTGCCTTCTCCGGTGAGAAGGCAACCCCTCGCTTTCTCACTTTGGAGTCTGCTGCATTGAGAGGTTGGGTTGGATATGCATGAACTTGGAAGATGTACTTACGAATCTTGAGGTCGATTAACTGAACAAAGGCTAGCCAAGGAGGTGAGGTTGCTTCATTTCTTGGTCCTGGTGTTGACCATGACTCGGACTTGGGCATCGGGGTGCGCTACATCGTAGGAAGCAGAAGCCGTGAGGATGATCAGTCCCGGAGTCAGCCAACGTGATACTTGGGCAAAGATTATCAAGTCTTATGGGGTGCTTTATCTGCGTGAAAGTTGTTAGTAGAGCTAGTATAAATAATTAATTTTTTTAAATAATTCTAACACTCTTATTGTGACACCCAAAAATCTATTTGCAATTTACGAGCATTCTTGTTATGTCTTTAATTACATTATGTTGCCCTTATTTTTTATTTAGAATTTCATATTTGAATAATAGGTGTATGTAATTTCTTTTCAGAGTTAATTCCAGCAATAGTCCCTTGAGTATGGTGATTTTCCACAATTGGTCCCCGACTTTTAATTTAGACAATTTAGCCACTTGACTATCAAAATCTTTCCAATTGTGGTCCTTCCGTCAAATCTTAGTTAAGTGGACATCAATTTGAAAGGTAAAAGCGTCATTTTAGTCTTCCCTCCCTCTTCGGTCTCCTCTCCGTCGACCGTGCAGCAGAGCTCTTCGTCGAATCGTCGTTCCAATAAAATATAAATTCTGTAGCCCAGAAAAGAACGACAGAGAGGTTGGATTTTGTTGAAAGGGCGGTTGCCACTCTCTGTTTCGCAATGATCCCTTTATTTTCAAAATTCAACAGCCCTTTCGATTTGTTTTTGTTGTTTTGTTTTCCCAGAAATAGATCCAGAGAGATAGAGATTGAGATTGAGGAATTATGGAAATGCA